GCCTTCTGTCTCCTGGCATCGAAGGAGACAAGCTGAGGTGACTGCTCCACTGACGCGGTTGGCTTAGGCATGGGGTTCTCCGGGTTGATGAGTCCGATAGCCTTGAACATACATCCCAGTATAGACTCCCTGAACACAGTGGCTTCATCAATCGATTCTTGCCGGTGCAATGTTTTTGGGCGCAGCGACGGAGATGCGAAAGGGTTGAAATTGCTGGCGTCCAATGGTGTACGATTGTCTCGCCGTTCCTGCTGATGTTGATATGGTTGTGAGAAGCTGCTGCGGCCACTCCGACCAGTTCCTCGCGCCATTTGCGAATTGGTCAACAGGTCACCTGCGCTGATTCGGTCGTTGCGTGGTCCTTGATCTGGGGAAGTCATTTTGGGTAATGCTTCGTTATTTGCGTTCGCGTTGGCCCCACGAGCGGCGGCAAGGCGGGCTTGCGCAGCGGTTCCTCTCCTAAGGGATACGCTGGACCTTCGTCGTCGGCCGGCCCCGGGGTTGTGTAACGCGATGCCTTTCATGCCCTCGTCTGAGCCAATGCGCTCCGTCTCCTTCGCAAACTTCTCCTTCAATCGCTCGAGCGGAGCATCACGCAGAAAGCCAGGAAGATCGTATGTGGTGTACTTGTTCATGAGCTTCTCCGTGCGGAGGACCTCATTCGTCAAACTGAGATAAGCATGGCTGGTTGCGAGCGTAACTCTTTGTAGGCGCGTAAGGATGACCTGAACAATGTGCGCCGTTGCTTTGGGGTATATGCGCGTCAGTCGACGAAATGCAGTGGCTGGGATTATAGCGATGGTTGTGTCTACGGTCGCGCGCGCGACAATGTCTGGATGGGCAGATTTAGGCTTTGCAGGGCGCGAAGGCGATCCTCGAGTTTTGCTGTGCTTAAGTCGCTCATCACCAAGTCCATCTAGATCCAGCGACAGAGGTGGCACGGCTTGTAGGCGCCCGCCTGCTGTTGGACTGTTCAGAGTCGATGTTCTTCGATGCCCGAACTTGGCCTCAGGGGCTTGGTTTGGTGTGTGCGGTCTTGAATCGTCGAATGCAAAGCTACTGTTCCGTGACATAGATGGCCTTACGTCTTGCTGAGGCGATCCTGGAAAACTTGGACGCGTGTCCTCATCTTCGTCATGACGCAGCTTCACATCTTCTGTGAACAGAGAGAGAATGGAGAACAACGAAGACATTGGGGCTCCGTTCTTGACTTCAGTAAGAAGCTGATAGCCCTGCCGGTGGCCCTGGTTCGCGCCGTCGCCGGATGACTCCCCTCCCATGTCATCCTCATCGGAGTCTGAATCATTACGGTTCGACTTGACAAAGATCTGGACCAAGCCATCTACTACCAGACAAAAGCCTTTCTCTTCTTCCAAGAGAATTGTCTCGCCAGCCACCAACCGACGGGTCTGCATAGTGCGTGTTAGTTCATGGAAGACTGGGCGCTCCAAGTAACCGAACACTTTGATTGCGCTCAAGAATTCATCCAAGTAGTTGGACAAGCCGCGCTTGGAGTCATTTTCGGCGCTGTCGGGAAAGACTTCGACCTGTGGTTCTTCACGCTGCGGTTCAGGTGGTAGTCGTGCGTACATAGTCATGTATCGGTACCTCACGAAGTAACTGACGGTAGACACGACAAAGACGACGACGAGCATCCTACAAACGTTTAGCTAAGATACGTGTAGGGGGTTGACAACGTACAGGGTTGTGAAGTTCATGGTGAAGGTCAGGCTCATAGAGAAGAGCGTGAATAGCCATGTCGGCAGGGTATAGGTAATCCAGTACAAGACGGTCGGCAGTACACTGAAGATGGACAAAATGACACGGCCCAAGAGACCAAAGCTGGTCGACGGCGTGGTATCAGCAGGCTTCATGCCGAGTACAGAGTTGGAGAGTGCCTCTGCTGTGTTATACACTGCTGCTTTGGAAGCCTCTGCCAGTGACCGAGACGTGGCAGTTCCCGGGACTGCCATGGTGGCCATGGTGGGCGAGGAAAGATCGGTGCCGAATTCGGACCGTCACGAGCCAAAGTTTCCAGACGTTTCTAGAGTTGCTAATCTAGGGCGGTAAAGACAGGAATCCCATGATGTGCCGTGCAGCGGGCACGTTGAAATCCGCGGGTATGTACTGGGGGCGCTTGCATGTGGGGTGCCACTGCCAGCTTGTGAAAGGCCGGGCCCGTGCATCGATTAGCGCGGAAGTCGCGAAACTCCACCGCGGCCTGGAGCTCTCACTCGCGCGCCGGAGCTTGTAAACCTCACCCATTGCGCCACTATGCCGCCCTTCAAAGATGACCAGATAATCGTGAGTCTCACATGCACTCAACGCTCTGCATATGCGCTAACCGCCTTAGATCATTGCGCCGGGCTCCGAGACGACAGTCGCGCAGCTGGGGCTCCCCGAGTCTTTCACGCCCGCGCGTCTTCGCGTGAGATCGCGCATGTTCCCCGCAGAGAAGGAAGGTGAATTCGAGCCCTACAAGATCCGAAGAAAGCAAGATCAGCCGACCGCAACGAATGGCGACCCCACAGACGAATCGCAGGAAGAGAAGAAGCCCACCGAGGGCGACGATGATGTAGTGTGGGAAGAAGACCGCGTTTCGGAAGAAGGCGCGATATGGCCCATTCAGCAAGGCCGCATCGTTGACTGGCCATGCTTCTTCGCCCTCATCACCCACACCTACAACTCTCTGAACCCGCCCTTCCACACTCCGATCCTCCTCATCACGCAACCAGCATGGACCCCGCGAGAGCACGAGAAGCTCACCCAATTCTTCTTCGAGAAGTTCAAGGTGCCCGCGTTCGGGCTTATGGATGCGGCATTGGCAACGACATGGGCATACGGTGTACACACAGCGACAGTGATAGACGTTGGCAAAGACAAGGCAGACATCACCGCTGTCAGCGAGTTCATCCCGCACACCCAAGGTCGCGTCATCTCACTGGAAGGGTGTGGAGGGGAGGCCTTTACCCAAGGGCTCTTGTCCAAGCTCAAGTCCAAGGGTCTCAACCGCGACATGTGTGAACAACTGAAGAGATCGCCCATCTGCGAACTTCTGCCCCCGGGAGTTCCGCTACCAGGGCCAGGAGATGCGGCTACCAAAGACGCAGCGACGAACCCTGCAGCGCTCGCATCAACGGGCGCAACCGGTCCTGGCGCAGCAGCAGCCGCCTCCATCGGAAACGTGCCACGAGGGCCTGGTATCGATACGGAGGTCGGCGAAGACGCGAGTCTTGAAGAGAGTGAAGGTGTTCTGGATGTCGCAAGCATCGTCGCTGGCGGCAAGATGTCTGAGTACCTTGCTAAGAAGGAGAAGGAGAAGCAGGAAAAGGCCAATGCGAAGAAGAAGGGTGGTCCAGCTCCAGCAGCCAACAAGCCGGTCAGGTTACCCAACTCCCGACTGGAGAAGGCTACGTTCCTCTACGAAGATCATGCGCTTCTGGACACTTTGAAGAACATGAACCTCAATACACAGGAGATGGCAGATGCGAAGGGCGCTCTGGACGAAGGGCCAAACAGGAAGGGGCAAGAGAATGGAGAGAACGGCGAGCCTACATCCGCAACCGAAGCGAACGGCACCAGCGAATCTGGTGCTACCGGCAAACGCACAGGATCGATAAGACGTGAGATCGAGGTTGGCACCGAGCGATTCATGGCAGATGGCGATGGTACGCTGGAGAAAATTGCAGACGCTGTGCACAGAGTTATATCGTCCATCGACGAGGTTGGCAAACGAAGCGATCTATGGGAACAGCTCATCGTCTGCGGTAACGGTTCAAAACTGCGAGGTAAGTCATGTTCCATGTATCAGCAATCATCGTGCATGTACTGACATCTATACAGGCTTCAAAGAATCTCTCCTCCAAACCATCCAGACTAAGTACCTGGTCTCGCCCTCCTCCGCCACAATCTTCACATCCGAGATTCCATCCAACGTGTCAACACCCATGGGAACCGGCGCGAACACACCACAGCCCCAACTTGGCCCGCACGGCGGCTCCCAAGTCAACCCGCTCCTCCTTGCAGCGACAACTGCTCAGACACAACATATGATGCCACACGGAGGCATGCCTGGCATGGGAGGTAACACCCACTCATCGCACGGCCAAACACCCACATCAATCAAGTTTATCAAGCCGCCGGAGTACTTCCCCGAGTTCAAGGACGTTGGGTTTGATGAGTCAGCCTTCTTGGGCGCTCAGGTCGCAGCCAAGGTCATCTTCGTTGTCGATCAGGGTCAAAGTAAGGGTTACATGACCCGTCCCGATTACAACGACCAGGGCCCACAGGGTATCCACGATTACAGCCTATAATCCGAGATTTTGGTACTTGGATTTCGAAGTCGGCTTTGATAAGCAAGGCCTTGTGTTACTTTTGCAACGCAGCCATTTTGTGGAGTTTAGGCACGGTTTATGGATATCCCGGCGTTGCCAAAAAGGAAAGCCTGGGGTCAAGTTTGATGAAACGAAATAGGCGATTGTAGCGATAGGCTAGCGGCGCATTGCGAGATGCAACCTCCAAATCCTATTTTCATTACCACCTACCCTTCCCTTTCTTTCCTTTTCCACTCGTCAACTTTGTGGGTGTGAAACGCCCATTTCGTTTCTTCTGGTAGTTTGGCATCGGAGTACGCCGATAGCCCTGAGGGCTCCGCTCCGCTCCCCACGTGCTAGGCATTAGCGAGTGGCTAACCGGATCTAGCCGTCCCTACGTCTGGCAACTGATAAAGGTCGCCAGTGCCACCCGATTTATATTGCTCTTGTCTTGATTGTCTTTTTGTTCGTTTTGCCAAATCTCTGACATTCACGGGTTGTGTGAAGTATAAGTTCACTTCGACAACCGCCCGATTCACGAAGTTCCACACTAGAGGCTGCATCTCGGTACCTGCTCCGATCTATTGCCGCGGCTAGAACACTTCACATCCACGGAATACAAACGCGGAACTTCAACTTCAACTTCAAAAGGAGGAATTTTGACGGAAAGAGCATACCTACATCATCATGGCAGCCTCATCACCCATATCGAATACGGTCTACGTCGGCCCCTTTGTGCACAGCGAATCGCTCTCAACACTTGAGATCCAAGACCGCGGCGCCATCTTCGTGGACTCCTCCGGCATGATCCGTTTCGTCGAAAAAGACATCCAAGAAGGCGACCTGCCCAATATCATCCAACAGAAAGGCGACTCATGGACGGACGCGAAAATCGTCGAGATAGCCGGCACTGGTTTCTTCTTCCCCGGCTTCATAGACACCCACGTTCACGCCCCTCAACACCCAAACACAGGTCTGTTCGGAAAGACCACATTACTAGATTGGCTCCAAAAATACACGTTCCCCATGGAATCTTCCTTCTCAAAACTCCCCCTCGCCCACCGCGTATACCAGAACTTTGTCTCACGAACCCTATCCCACGGCACAACAACAGCCGCCTACTACGCCACCATCCACGTCCCCGCCACCAACGCCCTCGCAGACATATGTCTAGCGCGCGGTCAAAGAGCACTAGTAGGCCGCGTATGCATGAACAGCGACCTAAGCCCCGAGTACTACAGAGACTCAAGCACAGAAACAAGCTACGCGGATTCAAAAGCCAGTATCAACTACATCCGCTCCATCGACCCCAAAGGCGAGATCGTGAAACCAATCATCACACCCCGGTTTGCGCCGAGTTGTACACCGGATTGCCTGACTGCTATGGGTCGCTTGGCGAAAGAAACAGATACGCATGTGCAGACGCACATCTCAGAGAATAAAGGCGAGATTGAACTCGTCAAGGAGTTATTCCCTGATAGCAAAAGCTACGCAGATGTATACGATACACACGGCCTGTTAACAGACAAAACCATTCTAGCGCACGCCGTCCATCTCACACCCGAGGAACGCAAATTAGTTCTCCAGCGCAAAAGCAAGATATCGCATTGTCCAGCGTCGAATACGGCGATTACATCGGGGTGTGCGCCGATCCGCGATTTACTTGATGAAGGGCACACCATTGGTCTCGGTACGGATGTCTCGGGTGGCAACTCACCGTCCGTATTAGAAAATGTGCGACAGGCGATATGGGTGTCGCGGCATTTGTGTCTCCAAACTTCGAAAGATAGGGCGAAGCTTTCGACAGAGGAGGCGTTGTTTCTTGCTACGAAGGGAGGTGCGGCGGTGGTCGGGATGCAGGATAAAGTTGGCGGGTTTGAGGTGGGGATGGAGTGGGATGCGCAGATGATTAGTCTGGGGGTTGTTGGTGAGGATGGTTGTCGGGATGGGGCGTTTGAGGAGGGGCCCGTTGATGTGTTTGGCTGGGAGAGTTGGTCGGATTTGGTGGAGAAGTGGGTGTATAGTGGGGATGATCGGAATACGGTGGCTGTGTGGGTGAAGGGGAGGTTGGTGCATAGGACGGGGAGGTTTGCTGGGGCGGAGAGGGTTGCGACGCCTTGATGACGAATGATGGCTCCGTGCACGTCATTCGGTCAAATTCCGATACAGCGTGTTGTGAGCAGGAATGTCAACAACCAAAGCCCAGCAGGGACTCAAAGGCTGATGTCTATAGAATTTGGCATGAGGATTGCCCTTTTGAGTCTAGCAGCTACATCTTCATTATACGAAGACTCGTGGGGCGGTTGTGGTAACATCAGACCCACGGTGATACTTCCATCGCTCATACGCTGGTGTTCGTCTTTCGTGGTTGCTAGACAATTATAGGTCTTTTGCAGGACATCGACCTGTGCAGTCATCTCCTCGTGAGACCATCGGACATCTAAAGTTGCCGACACGACTATGATGAAGTCTGTCAAAACTCGCCGTTCCAATTGGGTCGTATAGGTGCAGATGTAGTAGAGTAGTCTGATGAGTAGATCTTCGGGAAGAATATCATAGTCGATAATGAAGTCGGTTCCACCTCTTGCAAGTCCACAAACGCCGTAAACTTTATCAAGAACGTTTGTCGCTTCGTGATTACTGAAAGTTACCAAGAGTTCCAGTAAACTCAAATATTTCAATTCGACCTGATACAGTTTTCGCGCGAGTCCGAGCTGTACTGCTTTGAGGTGGCCTATTTCGATGATTTTGTTGATGCGAGCATGCCTAAAGACGGTGTTCGCCAGGTGGTCCAACGCCCTCCACTCACAGTGTCGAGACCCGCAGAATATTACGATCGATCTCGCAAGGAATAGTTCTTGCACAATCCAGATTCTAGACCAATATGGCCTGTTCAACAGTTTTGAGACGGCTCTTGCTGTTTCCTCTGACCAAACGATCTGCGACCCCGCATCGCCCTGCGAAAGTAACATTTCTTGTAGGAACCCCATGGCGATGTCACTACTCATATTTATATCGGCCTCTCCCAGCCAAATGGAAACAGTTTTGGCGTTCGCATAGATCTGTCGCATCATTTGGACTTGATAGTTCCGTTCCAACACGCTCTCCTGGTCAATACAGACAGCATCGATCCAATACATGCCGAACTTGCTTTGAAGACGCATATGCTCCAGGAACGCCCACAGACTGCGACCAACAGGAAAGCAAGCACCGTTCAGTTCGATGTTTTCATGTTTTACTTTCGGACCCCAAGTGTATGAAAGAGCGGTATATGATGGTGGATCCGAGTCGAAGGAATAGGCGCGGAGGATGCATCGTATAGGATCTGAGAGGCTGTTGGGTTGCAGTTCGACGAGTCTGAACTCCTGGCTTCCCTTGTGCCGACTGAGCGGCGCGTCGGTGTAAGGACCGCTCATGCTTGCGAGCGGGACTAGTGACAATGCGCGCTTTGTACAATCAACCGCCCCGTTAAATCACGTCAGTATATAACCGTTTTATCAGCTTCTGGTCGTACCACTACGAAAGGTAGAACACTGCAAACGCGATGTCCTCTGCGGGCTGAGATCGTCACGAGTCGCGTCAGCCTCGCACGCTCATACTTCAAGATTCATTAAAATGGGCGTTCACAGTATGGCCATTGTAATCTCTTCTTGTAGGAAAAGGATCTGTCGCGACCTTGATGATGGACGGCGATGAAGTGGTAAAGAGGCTGCACTATTGTTTGCATCAGGCAGTGCTGTATTTGATGGCGCTGCAGCGTGGCAGTGCAATGCCTGCCGCAGGCTTGAGTAACCACGTAAGTGATTAGGACTAAAAATGTCGCTAGTGGCCTGTCAGCCTTCACAGGCGTGGCGAATGGATAGGGTAGGCTGTGAAAAGTGCTTGTCCGGATGGTCAGCCCCGGGTGAAGTGGGGTTGCGCTTGGACCTTCACACGAAGTCCTCTAGCTGAACTCGCCGCCTGCCTAGGTGGGCATCATCGCAACCTTGGAACCACTACGACGCGTTTTTATGACACGAACGCGTCACACGCTCTGCGGTACTTCTCCCAGACACAGCAGCAACCTTGCATCGTGAGCAATATGTTCAATAGTTCAATTTGGCGATGACAACCCTTATTTCCTCAATCCAAGCTCCATCAGCGCCTTCTTACCCTTCGTACCCTCCTCTTCCCACCACAAACCTCTCATCTCCAACCCTACCTTTCCAAATAAGTCCTTCCACTGCGCCTCAGTGCGTTCCGAGGAGCCCAAGTTCATCATCTGCCAGTCCATCTTGGCATCGAAATGCACGACCTCCGTCTCCGTCTCCGGCAGAATGACCTCGTGAATTAGCACCACACTATCCTCGGCCATCGAGTTCACGATGTTTGTCAGGATGGTAAGTGCTTGCATCTCTGGCCAGTCGTGCAGAAGCATGCGCAGGTAGAAAGCCTTGGCGCGCTTGACAACCGGTGGGAAGGGGTCGAAGAAACTGTGTCCGACCGTTACAACGCCATCAGGCAGACCTTTGGCCTGCGCGATAACGCTCGGAAGATCCAACAGCATGCGCACACCCGGCAATCCTTCTGCACGCTCGCAAAACTTTACTACTTGATGGCCTACGCCTCCGCCAACATCGACGAACAGAGGGCGCGAGGGTTCGGTAATGACGAGGCGCTCTTTGACAGGGTACGATTGCACAAACTTGTTATGCTCACCTGGCTTCACCAGCGTCATCGTTTCGTTGAATGCGTCGAACATCTTCACGTTCTCGGGCTTGTTCATGAAGTCAAAGTAGGTCTCGCCTTTGCAACCATAGGCAAAGCAGAAGGGGCTATCCCGGGCGTCTACGGGGTGCTGGTACCCGTTTGCGGCGAAGTAATCGGGGAACTTGACGGCAGAACGGAAGTGGTAGTGGAAGTGGATGATTGCGCTGCGAAGAGGCGCGCCCTTTGCTATGGCACGGCCGAAGGCAGTTGGGGTGTAGCGCTGTGGAGAGTCTGATGTTGAGGTGAAGACTTCGGGTACGAGCATCTTGAGAATACGGTCTTAATCCGATCAGTAAGCGATGCTTTGTGATGTTTTGGGTGGAAGAAAGCTTACTGATTAATCTTAGGTCTGCTTTGCTCTTCTCTGCCAGCTCGGCGGCGGTAATGGGCCCATTGTTTGCTATGGCGATGTCGACAAGGTTGAGGTCAACGGCGAGAATGATTACAATGGGGTCGTAAATTGCCTAGCATCGTCAGTCCTGTGCCGTGGTGTAGTGGCTATGTATGCCGCATGGAGAATGCATATCAATATCGAAAAGACGCACGAAGAAATGCCGCAGAAACTTGTCCATAGGTGTTTCCAGGGCTTGTGTGAGTTTCTCGGAGGCCTGCAGCAAGGCGAGCCGGTCAGCCTCTTCGAGACCTGCTGGCCCCTTACTGGCAAGAGCGAGGATATCTTGGGCGAGTGTCATGTTCGATGTTGTGTTTATTCTTCTTTGGGGTGAGAGATGAGTAACTTTGGCAGTTTCTTCAAGACCTGCAGCCGCTTGAAGCAGTACTTATGCCAATGCGCTCGGTATGTATCTTCAATTTGATCGACAGCAAAGCGACAGCTGTTCCAAGCAGACGACGAGCCTACACTGGACGGCAGTTCTCGACATGCCCTCCAACTTTTACCAAACTTGGGCTATCTATCGTAGATCGCGGCGAAAGCAGCCTTGCGCCTAACTTGCTTACACTATGCCAAGTGTATCAACCTATCAAACCTACCGCGATACATGTGCAAACCTCGTGCCCATACTCGTCTTGTAATGCACCGATTTTATGAATGCACCGAGCGTGCGAATATACCGAGAATGGAAATAAGCCGCATGTTACGGACGTAACTAGACAGATACTACTTCTAAGGAAAAATGCTTATTCGATAGTACTAGATCAGCCTTCCATGCAAACGAAGCGCATACCGTATGGACTCGAGGATGTTCACCAAGAACACAACATCGATGTAGAGTTCGTCGCGTCTCGCATCTCCCGGAGAAATTCCAGTCCGCACGTGCCAACAGCCCCACCCGCACCTTCCCGAGGTCCTCTAATCCAAACACACGACAAGTTGTTTCTTCATGAAACACCCAGCCTCATGTGTTTACTATTCACGAGATAGACGTAGTAGTTGTTCCCGCAAACGTGGAGTCTGCATTACGCGATAGATGATTGCGAACAGTCCTACTTCGGTTCGCAATGTCCGATTTGACCCACCACTTCCTGGCCGCCTCAGGGTTAACAATCCTATACGCGTATTCCGTAAAAATGGTTGTACGATGTTCATGCCTAGGTAGTATAACAGGAGTGATGCGCAGCTGTTTGGTTAACAGAGAAACCGACCATCTACATTCATTTTGTTTCGCTCTCTGTTTGTTTTTGTATCTCCATTGTCACTCGTTTATACCACCGCCATGGTGAACTTCAATTCCATTCTAGCATTTTCAGTTTTCGGTCTGGGTGCGCTGGCACACCCAACCATCAAGCATATCGACCGTCGCTTTTGTTCGCTCGAACAGCGCAGCGTCTTCGCCCGCGCGGAAGCATCGACTTCACCCGCACCAATCCCCA